CCCCAAAACCCCAAAACCCCAAAACCCCAAAACCCCTAGGAATCTTTGAGGAATTGAGATTTTAGTTAAATTATGGAAATTTTGAAGCATGTAAAGAGGAATTCAAGGTGACGGTTTGGGCTTAGAGGTGGGAGTATGGGGGTGTATTGGAGGGATGTGGGTGTGAATGGACTCTGGTAGGTGATCTGTGCTGGCTGGCTTTTGAATTTTGAAAAAAGGTTAAGTTTGAGATAAATTTTGATTGATGTCTTGTTTTTATCTGAGGTGAAGAGATTCATGAGTTAGAGTCTAAGATTATGTAGGTATAATCGGTCAGCGTGGTTTGGATCAGAAGTGAGAAGTATGATTAACAAGGATGTAATGGGTAACCAGAAGGTAAAGAAATGTAAGAATTTGGAATCAACCGTAGGAGAGACAATGAAAGGGAATTGGGCTAATGAAAGGCCAATGATTGGCATCTTTACTCAACCTTACAATGAGACCAATGATTACATCATGGCATCCTATGTAAAATTTATTCAAGCAGCAGGAGCTAGAGTGGCTCCGATTATCTGGAGAGACTCTGATGAACACATCCTTAATTTAGTTCCAAAGCTGAATGGTGTACTATTCCCTGGGGGTTCTACTCCTTTTAGAAATAGAGATGGTTCTCTCACTGAGCATTCAAGAAAAGTAGAGCTTGTGCTCAACAAAGCTAAAGATCTAAACAATCAACTAACTTCTCAACCATCCCTCCACTCCTATTACCCAATTTTATCTATCTGTATGGGATTCCAACAAATAATCCAAAGCGAAGCCCCTTACCAAGACGTCGTACAACTCCACAAATTCACCGAAATCGATGTATCCAACACCCTCACCATCACCTCCACCACCTCTAAATCCACTCTCCTCTCCCAAATCCCTCCTCACTTACTCACTGCTCTCCAAAACCAGCGCATTATCTACTATCATCATCGAGACGGAATAGTTCCATCCACCTGGGAAAAATACTCTAGCCTTAAAGACAACTACCACTTGCTAGCGACCTCCCACGATAAGAATGGAATTGAATATGTTGCCATTATCGAGAGCAAGAAGTACCCAATCTGGGGTGTGCAGTTCCACCCAGAGAAGAACGCTTTCTCATGGAAAGCAGGTTCTAAAATACCTCATTGCAAGAGCTCAATAGAGTTCAGCCAGTTCTTAGCCAATTTCTTTGTGAAGGAAGCCAGGAAGAACTCTAACAAGTTCGACTCTGAAGAAGAAGCCTTTGAACATATGATTGAACACTTCCCTGTTCATGTTAATAACGAAAGAAAGCATGATGTATATATTTTCGATGGGGAAAGGAAACCTTAGTCCACATTCACCAAAAATGTTGGAATAAGATTTTCAATAAAAATTATACAAAAAGGGGTTTTGGGGTTTTGGGGTTTTGGGGG